GGCTACCTGACAACAGAGCTCAAAGTGTGGGATCATTTTAAGAAAAAGAAAGAGAAACCTGTGTAATATCTGCAGAGCAGAACTTACCTTCCACAGCTATTATTTTTAGTTAGCATATAGCTAAAATTTAACCATGGTTATATAACAGCAGCTGCATTCTGACACGATAAGCTCTATGTTTTATATTCAATTAATGTGGACTAATCGAAAAAAATAATCTGTGATTAATCGATTATAAAAATAATCGTTTGTGGCAGCCCTAACGGTAATACTGTGTTTCTACAGAGGATAACAGGTTACAACCTTGTAACTTTGGCAACTGTTGGTGGGTCAAATTTGGCCCATGGGCTCCACGTTGGGCTCCTCTGAGTAAGAGTAAAAACAGGCCCGTTTCACCTCCTTTAGTCTTTAACCCTGTTAGTCCAAGTAACTGATTTCACTGAAGTCATGTTGGAGCAGCTTTCTTACCTTCATCAGGCTCACAGTTTGAGGTGACAGATTTGGATATTTCTGCTCCAAAGGATCCTACAAAACATGAAACATGTTTGAACAGATGGCATCAGAACTTGTTTGACCGTTTCTGAGTAAAGGTTGAAACATTGAGCCTCATGCAAGAACCGTACAAACAGATTTGTTCTTAAGTTGTGCGTTCGAGTGATTTAGGAGAATTTGTGGCATTCACCAATGTTTTTGTATTCTAAGATTTTTTTCAGATATGAACAAAATTCAGGAGTGGTCCAGACCTGTCGCATATTTTACCAGCAGTCAGTCTGCTGTTATCCAGACGGATTTTCCTCCCTAATAACTTTTTATTTTGTTAGTTTGAAGATATTTTGAGTTGAAAATAAATCACACTCCATAATTATGTTGACAATAGGTTATTCTGCTTGAACTGGAATTATAATTTTAAATGTAACTAACGACATAAATTGGTTAGATTAAATTAAATTGGTTAGATTAAATTAAATTGGTTATTAATGCTGTTGTATAACACTACAATATTAATATGAAGATCTGAAACTAAAAACCAACTTAAATTATGTATTATGTAACCTCCGTCTTCTCATTTCTGATGCTGACTCTTGAATATCCTCAGGTTAGAAATGCTGATTACAAACACAAGCGTGAGCTTTTAAAAATAAGTTTTCCCTGTAATGCTATGATCCTCTGCTGTCACCTCCTCATCTAAAGGTAAAAGGATAAAAACTAACTACTCTATCATACCTGCTGGTTAGTGGACACAACGACACACAACAGAACTCACGTTTTATACCAGTAGATCACAGATGCTTTAACTTTTGTGACTTTTTCATGGGCTAGTACTAGCAGCTAACGCTAAAAACATAGGCAGTAAGCAGGGAGTGGAAGGGAGGACTGTGGCAAGAATTTTACCAGAAATACGTCATTAATGACCGTGACATAAAGGCTGTTGAAGTTTGGAGACTTTTTAAAATGCTTTCAGAACTGCATTTGACACTTGTGACGGTCAGGAGGGGGGAGACGGCCAGGTGGGTGGTGGTGTGTGTGTGTGTGTGT